TTTTTAGATTTGAAAGAGACCCTTGTTTGCTTTTCCATTTGGCACGCGTCACATAGGTGATATTTTGAAAATTTTATTTTTGGAAGACCAACTACTAGATCCTTAGATACAACCTTATTAAGCAAATCAAAGTTAACATGCACTAGCCGTCTATGCCAAAGCCAATAATCATCATTCAAGGTGACTAGACACTTAGTGCTTGTTAATGATACATCAAAAAGGTCAAGCATATAGACGTTGTTTACTCTATACCCTTAAACACAATATTTTGTTCAGTATTTTCAATTATGCAACAAGTGTTTGTGAAAGTAACTTTATAACTCTTGTCACACAATTGACTAATACTTAACAAATTGTGTTTAAGCCCCTCTACTAAATGGACATCAAAAATAGTAGTGGTAGAGAGATTACCTACACTACCTTTACCGAGTATTGCTCCTTTGTTATTGTCTCCATAAGTAACATATCCTTTCTTCTTTGCTTTGAAGTCAATGAAAAACGATATGCCACCTGTCATGTGCCTTGAACACCTGCTGCCTAGAAACCATCTTCTATCCACGGATGTAAGACATTTTTCCTGCAATATCAAAAGAGAGAGGTAGGTACCTAATTTTTATTGGGTCCGTGTGGATAAGTGGTAACATGGTTGCCTTTAGGCCTCCATTGATAAATGCCTTTAGGAACAAGAAATCTCCTAAACTTGCATTTCTCAATGGTATGACCAGCATGACAATAATAATGACATAAACCATTGTGATGGATTTTCTTACTTTTGCTCATTGAATCCTTTGGAATCTTTTCTACAAAATAATATTTTACATATGGTGGATTCAAAGTTTTCTTAAAAAGTCTAGGATAAACGGCAAAAGTAACTTTGGGTTGTAAAGCTTTTTCCAATTTGGCATTAAGAGTTCTAACCTCTTGTTGCCAAATATGACAAACTTCACATTCTCTTCTTGAAATACATCCTCTAACATCCTTATCTTTTGAACTTTCTACAATACTAGATTTTAGATATTTTAAGTCTTTTTCATCTTTATAGACTTTACCCTCAAAAAATGAAAGTATTTGTTTATCGGAGGATAATCTCTTAAAAGCGTCTTCAGCTTTGTTTTGCAGTTTTTCAAAAGCTATTTTCAGTTCAGAAAAAGACATAGAAGAAAAGTTGTTATGGTAGGCTTGTCTTACTTGCTTGTCGTGGTTGTTCTTCTTGTGGTAGGACTGATTTTTGGTATGTTCCCTGTGACATAAATTTGCAGTCTCATCACTATCACTTAAACTGTCATCATTTGATGAATCACTATCGCTTTCCCACGCAATGTAAGCTCTTCTTTGTTTATTGAACTTCTTTGGTGGAGCTTTTCCTTTGTCCTTTTTCATCATTAGACACTCCGATTTGTAGTGCCCAACTTTACCACAATTGTAGCAAGGTCCTTTACTTCTTTGCTTCTTATTCTCTTCTTGTCTTGGCTCTTTGGAATATTTTCGAAATTTTATGAGATTCTTATCGGAGTGCTTGATTCCATTCTTTCGAATAAACCTATTATATCTCCGAACAAAGAGTCCCATTTCTTCATCATCTGAATCTTCGTCACTACTTGAATCATTATCATTTTTCTCTTTGTGTGAGGACTTTGAGCTATAAGTCATAAGAGCTATTGACTTCTTCTCACCCTCCTTGTATTTATTCTTCTCCTTTTTACTCTTGTTTTCATATTTTTTAAGACTTTCCAGTTCTTGTTGATGTTCTTCCAGCTTGCCATACAAAGTTGTAATAGTAAGCGTAGTGAGGTCGTTGGCTTCCTTGATAGCTGTTACTTTAGGTTGTCATTCTCTGCTAAGACATCTCAGAATTTTGTTAGTAGAAATTTAATTGGAAACATGTTTTTCAAATGCATTCAAACAACTTATAAGATGAACGAATCTCCTTTGCATGTCGGAGACAGGTTCTCCTTGTTTCATGTGAAAGAGCTCAAACTCTTGATTGAGTGTGTTAATGCGGGACTGTTTAACTTCAGTAGTGCCCTCATGGACAATTTCTAAAGCATCCCACATTTCTTTAGCAGTCGTGCAATGAGATACCTGATAATACTCATCGACACCAAGTGCTGAGATTATCATATTTCAGCCTCTCCAATCGCTCGACCACTTCTTTTCATCTGTTTCATTCCATTGATCCTCAGGTTTAGGTACTATTGCACCTGCACCATTCCTCGTGGTAATTTGAAAAAGACCATTTTGAATGGAAATCCATACATTCTTGTCAATGGAATTTATGTTTACTCGCATGCAGTCTTTCCAGTAGCCATAGTTTTTACCATTGAAAACATGAGCTCTATTATACGCCCTTTTTGGTTCAAAACCCATAGCGTTACTAGTAGACACAAAGCACCAGCAAACCGGCGCTCTGATACCACTTGTTAGACGGTGTGGAAAGTGATCAAGAGGGGGGTGAATAGATCGCCTCCTTATTTATCAAGGATTTAAAATCTTTTATCAAAGTTTATAAAAAAAATAACGAAAAAACACGGTCCCGAATCAACTTCTGTCTATTTTGAACCAACTACTAGAAAATCGGACATACGATATACTTGTTAGATTTTATTTAAGATGAAATAGATGAAAATTAAACACAGATTGATGTACGTTTCAATGCACTTATCACAAGAACACTATTTCTAATAAATAAAAACTTGCACGCAATTTTGTCAAACAGTTGGTGTATTCTTGTTCAATGATAAATAATAATGGTGGTTTTAGCAAAAGAGTTTGTACCACTATTGTATCATTAAACAGAAAAACCAGCAAACCAATTGAATTACAAACTTGTATAAAACGTAAAGAAAATGAGAGAAAGAAAAATAATACACTCGTAGTTTGGTAAGGAAGTTCCCCACCGTCGTCCTCGCGTGTGGGTACGTCTCCCTCTCAATTCCAAAACTGAAATTGAGATCTGTTATATCAATTTGCTGAATGTTGTTTATAAGGTTACAATACAAAGACAGAATGTAATCTATAATATCTTCTTCTTCTTGTAAGAGCCTTCACTTGATATGAGCTTATCAAGATTTCCTGCAAGATCCACAACCAATCCTCTGCTTCCACGACCTGTTTGCAAAATCGCCCCAATTTTCAAATCCCTCGCTACGGCTGAATCTGACTTGTGCAATCGTGACTAATAAACCCGCAAGAACATACCCGTTCTTGAAGGACAAACCCTTTGGTTTTTCCTCGAAATCCCCTTCTGAATATTCAACTCAGCTTAGATCATCGATCGTACTGCTGAACGTTATCTCTATGATCTCTTGATTTAATGAAGAAAGATGTTTATCTTTCGTCGTTGTTGAACCAAGATGATGAAGATGAAGTATCTTTCAGGTTTCTAATGCTCAAAAATTTGATGCACACCAATTGTATTTGTGACACCTTTTATTTTGTTTTGCTGTAAAAACTTACTTATATATGTGTAACAGAAAATGGTTAGAGGTGAAAAAATGCAGTATGAGTCGATGCATGTTTAACATGAGTCGACTCATGTTAGTTGTGAAACATAAGATGAGTCGATATAATTTGTTATGTATTGATACATACTGATGGCAAAATATATTCGGAGAAATCAAATATGTATGAGTCGATGCAAGTCTTTATGTGTCGGTACAACATATTTTCCACACAGAATCCAAAACCATTCATTTTATATGAGTCGATACATAACGTGTATGTGTCGATACATACTGAGTTGATTTTTGATTTTGAAAAACAAAATGTGATATGTATCGATGCATGAGATTATGTGTCGATGCATAAAGGTTTATAACGTTTTCCAGGAGCATCAACTTGACATGTATCGATGCAAAGTATGAATGGATACTGAAGCAGAATTGTTTTTGTGATTCTTTGCTTAAGTATGTGTCAATGCAAAACCTTTTGTATCGACCTGAAATTGTGCTTTATGTGTAAAACACATTTTTTTTCTCTTTTTAAACATGTTAAACTATTGTCACATTATGCACACAAATAGATTAAGCACATTAAATATTCATTAATACTTATTTCACACATTTGCTATCATACAAAACTCCTTAAAGAAAAGGAATACTCACAAATAATAATTTGTTATTGATTCAATAGAAACTCTTGGATGAGTTTGTTAGAATTAGATTGTTATATAGAGACTGCGGTGACCGTGTCACTGCCAGCTCATCAAGCTAAGCTAACTGTATAATATATCTATTACAAACTACAATTAACTATTATAAACAAACAGCTATATGATTACTCTATTAAGAACAACTATTATATTACAAAACTACTTAAAGAAAAGGAATACTCACAAATAATAATTTGTTATTGATTCAATAGAAACTCTTGGATAAGTTTGTTAGAATTAGATTGTTATATAGAGACTGCGGTGACCGTGTCACTGCCAGCTCATCAAGCTAAGCTAACTGTATAATATATCTATTACAAACTACAATTAACTATTATAAACAAACAGCTATATTAAGAACGTTTCTGCCATATTCCTGTCATAGTCTGAAACACCGTATTCCTGTCATAGTCTCCAATACAACGTTTCTGCCACAGAACAACGCTGTGATAAAGAGAACATAGTGACTTAGTCTAAAAGCTTTGAACCTCTTCATAATGTTACTGAGTCAAACATGACGAATATGGATGAAGAAAAATTGAAAAGGAACACATACAAAACAGGAGTTTACTTAAATTCTACTGCATAATTTGCCTCATGATTTTCAATGGCAAGCACAAATTTGTCCCCTCAACAATGAAGTGGATATATCAAGACAAATACCAACATGGACCCCTTAGAGAAAATCAGTGACAGTTTGGACTAAAACAAATAGCATGGTAAAGGAAATGCAAAAGGTGAACGAAAAAACTGACCTCCTTTCTTCCTGTGTTTATGGAAAAGCTACGGAAGAGAGAACGTGAGATGTTAGCACAGTTATCAAAGTTAATATTAAGAAAAGCCTAACGTGCAAATTGAACACTCCTTACGATTCCATTTATTGAATATTAATATCACTTTATCATTGTTAATCAACTATGAGTGTAACAATGGAATATCATATGCGCCTAAAAAGTACAATCCTACACAGTACAAACAATTTTGTTGGATGACAGTCAAAATGGAAAAAAAGAAAGGCAAAATAATGGTTCGTATCTTTCCATTAATAAATCTCAAAATAAACATGGAAGATAACCTAGAGACTATGTCTACTCTCCTATTTAAAAGGAATGAAGATTCATCTATATTCGATAATGTGATATCGAAGAAAAATTGAACATTTTCATCATGTTGTGAAAAATTTCAGGATCTTCTTTCCGATAGACACCTCGCTAGGATCCTCTTCTTCCTCCTCCTCTCCCTCTTCTTCTTCCTCTTCCTCCTCCCCTTTGTCCTCATTTTCAATGTCATTGATTATGCTTCCATCTTCATCTCCATATTCCAGTGTACCACTTTCTTCAACATGGTCCACAGAGTTGGTTGTAGCACCATTGTCATCAATAATGTATGTTGGCATTTCAAACTGTAAAAAGCATCTGTATGTTAAATAAATCATAACATACATCTAATTCCAATAAAAATAAAACCAATCATCAAAACAAGAAGATTAAATTACCCTTACAACTCGATCATCTTTGACCTCCACAGTTGTTACCTGCACTAGAGTTGTGGTTTGGATATTGTCATCACCTACTACAGCTTTAACACTTTCATCACCTGCCTTCTGTTTACTATCTGAATCTTCTTTTACGACGTTCTTCGTTCCATTAGTCAAATCTTGTGCAGATGAAACTGTATCTGCACTGTTCAAGGAAAGGCGTGACATCAGAACCACTGGAGACAATAATGCACTCTGCTATATATAATATTACCCACTACGTACAGACATGTGAAAGACACAATCAGTAACGCCCTTAACATCCTCTGGCAGTAATCTAAATGACTAAATGGCATTAAATAGTTTCTCAATCGGGAAATCGACATTCCTCCTATTATACATAATAAGATCTTACTTATTTTTTGAGAAGTATCCACCACAGTAAATCCATGCATGCAGTTCCTTCAGATAATCAAGAAAAGAAATCCAACATCCATATTTCAAACAGCCTTGGTCAAAAGATTCTAGTGCTGTCTGAATCCAATACAAATTAGATAATCAAGATTGAGTGGCTTCAACTAAGATCGTTTTCATTTCACTAGATCATTATGAATAATCAAACAAGAAATCAACAAGTAGCTCTAATCTTTCAACATGGGTGGGTAACCAGAATATATTTTAATTGACATACTTCATATCAGAAACTACCATCTCAACCTAAATTGTCATTAATATCTGATAGCTAGTGCATTTATGTCCATGTAAATAATCAATCTAGCACATAAGTAGTGATTAATGCCAAAATAGCCAATTTCATAACCAGAATAAGAAAATGACTATTATGGGTATGTTACAATTTCCTCAAAAAATCTTTGTATACTTTGGATCCAAAGACTTGCAGTTTTTCAACTGTCAACCAAACATAACTATATCATTCTTTCTATTACTGAAATGTAAAAATCACTTCAACTAGACAAAACAGTTGGAAACATTAATTGACATAGTAACTGTTATGATCTACCAAAAAAATATGGTCAGGGCAAGAGTTGTGTAATCATTTCAAACCATAAAAGTTTCCCATGGACAAAAAATTTCAACACTGCCGTGGATTTCATTCACAAGGAAAGGTTGGGAAAATATAATCACATTAGACGGGGATAAGATTTTATGTAAAATTTCTTTTTTAAAATCCCAGAAGTACCTCCACATCTCACTTTTATAAAAGACTACTGGGAATGTAATAATTCTTAACCAAAAACATAAATAAAGACAAGTTTTTCATCGATGTATTAAGAGAAAAGTTATACCCGAGAATCTATTTAGATGACTTGAAGCAAAAACCAAGGCCCATTTACTGTGAAAACCTTTTTTATTTTCATTCCCTAAAATTTATGTCAAGTTTACTTGCTAACAAGAAGTTATTAGACTCTTGAAGCAAACAATCATGTGTATTTTTTGAAAACAATGAAAATGACAGATTATTTTCATTATTTTTAAAAATATAGCATCTCTAACAAGCATTTCATCTTTATCCATCACAATTGTTCACTTAAAGGTCTCACACCTTTTGATTAGCAAGTTAAAATGAACACGCATTTTAAAAAATGAAACGAAAAAATGTTTTCAAAAAGAAAATTGAGCCTAATATTTCAATTTGAATAAACCTTGGAAATGACAATAACAATCAAGCCATGTCAGTGCACCGAATTGGCACACCACAACTTTATTTTATTCCAAGGGGCAACAAGAGGGGAAATGAGTAATGAGTTCTTTCAGAATTAAAGTTCCAGGAAAACTATCAAATAAATAAATACAACCAGTGTGTACACTGACAGTGATACAATAAAATAAAACTTTTAACCTTTTATGGCTCCTGAAACTAAACTTACGTCTTATGCCGCCTGAGATTGTATCGTGTCTCCCTAGTAACTTGTGGGGATGGAGGAACTGTTACCCTTTTCTTCTTGCGCCTACTAGTTGTGATACTATCTGAATGTCCTTCACTATCAGCAGTGTTCTGCTCACTTTCTACAATCCTGGAAGTTTGTGCATGTTGCTGCTTCCTCGGCCTTTTACCAATAACGTTCTCAGTGTGACCGGACTCTTCTCGACTGTTTTCTTTGATATGATCAGTATCATAAGACTGCAAACTCACATTTTCCTTTGAGGTTTTTCCTAGGAACTCCTTGGCCTCCTCAACCACAGCCTTCACTGAGCGTGTTCTAGCAATTCCAGATTTGCCTTTCCTCACAGGTCTTTTTCGACCAACCTTTGGGACTGACTGTTGAGAATCATCTGGATCTCCACCTATCAAACTTTCCATGTAGCTGTTGTCGTCCATGGATAAAGAGTATTCATTATTCACCTCTCTAACAATGTTATCGGATTGGAAGTGCGGTGTATCAGAAGAGGGAAGAGCTACTCCACCTGCTATCTGTTGTTCTGGAACATTAATTATTGGTCCTTCTATATTAGGAGATGCCGTATGTTCTTCTACTTTTTCTATATTAACATTTACATTAGACTCCGGCGATGTCCCACCCATATATGAAGTACCGACAGAATCTGTTTTTGTACTTGGGGATAATTTGAAAATCTTGGTCGTGCATTTGCGGAGCCAAGATACAGGCCTTGTAGATCCAGAATAGTTCGAGCCAGAAGCAATAACATTGTCCTCGGAGTTCTTATTTTGCTTATAATTTAAAACAGGGGAGGCGGGCAAGGGAAGGACGTCTATTTCTTTACTGTCAGGTAAGTGAAGATCAGACACAACGTCCCTAAAAACTTCCCCACAGTCCTTGCAATTCCTGAGTTTCTCAACAAGTGCAATAAAATGATTTCTTTCAGCCACAAGGCGCTCACGCTCTTTCCTCACTTTCTGGCTAAGATTCATGAGCATTTCAGAATCTTGATGCATCTCATGCTGGTCAGACTTCAGCTGTTGCTTGTTTGTCTCAAGTTCTTTTCTCTCATTCTCTAACCTGGTCTCCTTAGACTTTACTTCTTCCCATTCCTTTTCAGTAGCATCCTTCAACAAATCAATATTATTAAGCTCTCTTTCCATCTCCTCCTGAAATTTTCTCTCTCTTTCCTGTAGGTTCTTCTCCATCTCCTCCTTCCTTGTTTGTATTTCATTATCAAGATTTCTTGTTCTCCATTCAAAATCTTCAAGCATTTGTGCCTTTTCATTTTTTACCTTTTCAGATAAAAGAAATTTCTCTTGTGTAATTGAATCACTAAATGATTCCTTATCCAATTCAAGCTTTTCCAGCTCTTTCTTTAAATGATCTTGCATATCTTGCTTCTCTCTTTTCAACCTTTCTTCCTCGCTGTTCTTCAGTTTTCTTAACCTTTCTTTCTCCTTATCAATTTTCTGTTGTTCTCCACTAATTTCCGATCTTTTCTTATCCAATTCTTCCCATTCCTTCTCAAACCTAATTCTCTCCTCCCTCAAATTTTCAGCTTCCTTCATAATAAAATCCTTCTGTGTTCTGGTATGCTCTATCTCCTGCTTTAGTTCCAATTGCAAACGAGAATGCTCTGATCTCTCATCTTCAGTAAGCTTCAAATTCTCAGTGTCTTGGCATATTTGCAGCTCCTGCTGAGAAATCTCAGCTCTAGTCTTCCTAAGTTCAACATTTAAGTTCTCCAAGCTCTCCCGTTCAGCAAGCAAGTGCTCTTTTTCCTTCTCCAGCTCTTTCTCTTTTATTTTCATAGTCTTTTCTTTCTCCTTTAAAGACTTCAACTTTGTTTCAAGTTCCTTATTTTGCTCCTTTATCCTCTCAGATTTCTTGCTCAGAGCAAGCTCTTCTTTTCCAACCTTTGTTTCCATATGGTTTACTTCGATCTCCCTATTCTCCAAAGCCTCCTCCTTGCTGCTAAACTCCTCGGCAAGGGATTTTCGCTTCTGTTCCATTTCAAGCTCAAACTGCTGCAACTTTAAATCCAGAGTATCCTTTTGCTCATCAAGAAGTTTCTGAATCCCTTCCTGTAAGAAATATATGTACAAGAGTTAGAATGCAACAAGCCCATGTGAATTACTCGATGTAATTGTAATTCAAGTTATGTTAATGGGTTTATATAACTAATTTCCAATATAGTAATTTCCAATATTCAGTTTCTTTTCAACATTCAGAAAACACACTACATATCACATGATAATGGGTTATAGTAATTTCCAATATTCAGTTTCTTTTCCTACTGGATAATTATTTTTAAGAGATAGCATTTATTTACTAATTTAATAATGTTAATTACATAAGTAATTACATTACAATCCTTCAACTAAATAATTATAGTCAATTTTTAGGGGTAAATTAGTCAATTTAATATTTAATTTTTCAATTTTATTATTTTTCATCTTTTCGTCTTATTGCTTTTTCATTTTTTATCCAGCAACTACAAACCATAACAACTGATTTGGTTTGGGTTGTCAGATTTAGAAAAGATTCTATTGTATTGTAAGAATACCAAATGTCTGAACTTACTCTTTCTTTGACACTAAGCTTTAATTCCAGTGCATGTAATTCTCTCTCTTTCACCTCCAGTGTTTTCTTCATAGAATCCACTTTCTGCAACCATAACCACAACATTAATGATGGAAAGACCAAACCAGAGCAAATTACATGTTCACAAAAGGCAAATGAAATGCACAATAAGAAATTAAAAAAAACACCTTCTCTTCCGCATCTACATCTGATACTCTTCTACTTATCTCAGCTTCCTTTTCTTTTAATGAAGAATTGGCAGAGTCAATATTCTTCTCCAACACTTCTAGATCTCTCGCTTTCTGCTTCAGGTTTCTCTCCATTACAGTCACATTATTTTCTCTCTCGCCAAGATTTTGCCTACCATCACATAGTATATCCTCTCTTTCTCGTAGCTTCCTCTCCCACTCCTTTAAATCTTCCCTTTGTTTGTAGAATACTGTTTCAAATGATTCTCGACTGAAACAAGGGTACAATACAATCTTCAATGAACTGATTAAAATAGCACAAGACTAAATATGAGTACTAGAAATATTCATAAAAATTAGAACATGATACATACTCAGTAGCTACAGATAAACGCTCCTTTTGAAGCAAACTTTCACGAACCTCCACCTCTCGCAATTTCATATCAAGCTCTGCATTTTTTCGGTTAACCTCAGCTAGCCTAGCTTCTGCATCATAAAGTTTCTTGTTAACCGTTGAAGACTTCTCTTCAATTCCATCCACCAATGCATTTGCTTCATCTAGCTTTGTATGGGAGGAAGACTTGACTTGGGCAAGCTCTTCTTGCATTGCACGCAAAGCTCTCTCAAGCTGCAATTAATAAATTTCAGCAAAATTGCTACAAAATGAAATAGTTCAACAGACAATTTAGGACAACCTTAAATATCAGCCAGGAAGTAGCATCAGCTACCTGACATGCAAAAATACTTAAGACGGTTGGTAACGAAGTACATTAATATGTTTAACAACTCTCATTGAATCCAAACAATTGAGTAGAAAATAACTAGCTTCCATAAAACATACACTGAGAATTCGAAAATGATTAAAACTTACAATGAACGGGACTAACCAGGTCAGTGACTAATTACTAAAGATCACAAACATAGCACTGCTTACTATTAGTCAATTAAATATGCATATATAGTTCATAGTGAAGTTAAAGAAAAAGGGGAAAGCAAAGTAAGCAACAGAAGCAAAAACTATAGCTCAGCCTCAAGCCTATGATGAGCTCTTTCAATACTAATCAATGTCAATAAGAAGAGCAAGTAAGCAAGCACAACCAAATTCAACACAATCATATACTTGAAGATAGAAAAAGAGCATACATCAGATCCACACTGCTTTTCTAAACTCAATGCTTTCTTCAAATTTTCCTCTCGCTTCCCAACTTCAGATAATGCAATCAAATGTGAAGATTGTTCTCGTTTTAAAACCTCCTCAGTTTCAGCTAGTTCTTGCCTCAGCTGATCAAACTTTGAACTCCACTCTTGCTTCTCAATCAACAGAAGGCCCATGTTGTACTGATAGTCAAAAAGCTAGCAAAAAATGAAAAGAAACAAAACTTCATCAGTGGTCAATCATCGACAAAATGACATATGGTTTCCAAAAGAACACTGTTACAATAATGTTCTAAAAGCATAACATTGAGATGCAACCACCTATGCTGAATCTATAGGTCTTCTCTCTCGTCATACCCAAACCACCTATGCTGAATCTATAGGTCTTCTCTCTCGTCATACCCAAACCGCCTATGCTGAATTTCCACCATCTTTTTTGTGATGTGTTATCCCCAACTCTTTCTCTAATTTTGTCATTTCTAAATTCTAATCATGTCATGTCTAGTCTTACCATACATCCAACGCAACATCCGCATTTCTACTATGCTTATTGTATTCTTGTGAACTACAAAAATGCCATAGCAAATTCATGCATCCAGCGCAACATCCTCACCTCTATGCAACAATGCTATAGCGCCGCTATAGCAACTATTTGACAACATTTTGTACTAATTGGCATGTTGCAGAACAGAACAATAGCAATTTGTTCAAATTCCACAACATTATAGCGATATAGATGCTAGTAAACTAATCCAATAGCTAACATTTTGTAGTAAAGGGCATGTTGCAGAACAGAGCAATAGCAATTCGATCAAATTCCACGACACTGTAGCGATATAGAAGTTATTTAACAAACCCATTCTCTCAACTTATAGCCCTTGTGTACATTTCCAACGAGGAGAATATATCTCCATTCTAAATACTGGAAAAACTACTGACAAATGGTTGAAATTCTATGCATCTACAAAATTTCAAAGTACGCATTTTTCAATCACTATGCCAATAGTTTACATGCAATAAAAGGAAGTGATTTGCCTGCATTACTCCATATGCTAGTAAAAAGCAATCAAAAGAGCTTATTCCTCAAAATTATAATCATATTAACATGAAAAACTTTAACTAGCAACTGCAACTACGTTTTAAAATTAAAACTAAAATAACAACAACTACTAACAGATCCTAATTGCAAGCATCTAATCGAAATTGATCGACCCGTGATCTCATTTGCAAAAAACCTGAATAGTAACTAAATCCAAATAGCAGAATTCTCTATAACAGCAAAAAAAAAAATATATAATAATCATAAAATTTAGCACAAACGCATCAATTGAAGCTAACCTAACCAATTCAAATTCAAATTAAAAAATTGCAAAATCAAAACCAAACTAACAAACCTCTTTTTCTAGCCTCGAGAGTTTCTCCGTAAGCGCTTCCTGATCCTTCCTCTGCATCACCGCTTCATCCAACAATCCAACCTCCCTAAACTTCTTCCAATCCTCAGCATACCCAGCATCCAACCCAGAACCAACCATCACCTCACCTCTAGCCTCACTCAGAGAACCTAATGGCGGCGGAGGCAGCGGTTCGTCAGCGATGACGACAGCTTTACCTTTGGCGGATGGCGTGAGGCGAGAACCAGGCGTTGAACCGACTCGATGCGGTGAGAATGTTGTCGCCGCAGATGTGGGCCGTGCTTTCCTCTGCGGCGTAAACATTGTCGACTTTGGGGAATTCCGCCGGAGTTTCACTCTAAACCACGGTTAGGGTTTCGCCGGTAAAAGAATACTTTTTTGAAATATGAAGTGTGAAAATTTTGGAACCGAATTTAGCACCAACGATCATAAATTGAGAAATAGAATCAATATATAAAAGAAAAATAGGAATATTTTGGTGTTCGTCCAGTAAAAAACTGTCGAAGGTAATTTATTTATTTTTGAAAAAAAAAATTGATATTTCTATCTGAGAATAATATTCATTGTAAATTTTTTTTACATATTTAAAATCAATAATCTATTATATCATTAAAAAAATTTAAAATTTAAAATAGAGTATAATTAAATATATAATTGTAATTGATTAATTATATAAAATTATTTTATAAAGTGAGTGTGCGATTTTTTTCTCTTTCTATCAATCAATTAGTACAATATGTAATTTATTAAAAATATTTATATTTTTATTATAATTATCTTTAAAATTATATATTTTGTTGAGGCAATTCACTTAGAAACATTAATAGAAAATTGAGAATTATATTAGATAATTAATTATTCATCTAAAATCTTAAGGTGTTAATTCTCCCAGTTATATATTATATTAACACACTCCCTCAAGTGTGAGTCTATAATGGATTCTCAATTTCTGAATATTTTAATACAAATAAGTTAATCTATTTCTCAAATCAAAGACTTTGATATTATTTATTAGAGGAATTCACTAGAGAACATTAATATAAAATTGAAGATTATACATGTGATAATAAATACATTACTTATCTAACCTTAAAGTGATAAGTGAATAAATTCTCTATTTTCTCACAATTGCATTATTATTATTATTAATTATAAAATATACCTTGTGCTGCATAGCGATTAAACCTTTTTTATAAAATTGAGGAAAATTCTACTTATGTACACTCTTTAAATTTACAATAAATAGTAACATTTAATAAGATCTTTTAAAATAAATGTAAAAAAGATCTCGTAACACTAGCGTTTAATAAGATTTACAATAAACACTGAACATCTCTTTAGTTTTGTGATTAACCTTAATTAATCTCTACTAAAATCTTCTAAAATAGATAAATGTAGTTAACCTTAACATTTAAAAAAACCGCTATTTTCATGGATGGTTATTGCTCTCCAACGGCACAAACTAAAACTAGTGCTATCAAGAAATAAGATTTGTTATTAAAAATTTTTGTAAGATTGTATAAAATAATATATTATAAAATTATTTTATTTTATATTTTTACAAAAATATAAATATTATAATTTATTTTCATGTAAAATTTATTAATATAAAATTTCAACCATATTTGATAGATTTTTCGATTTATCCATCCCGTATTTTTAGAACGGAATTCATTTTGGTCCCTCAATTTTTAAAACGACTATTTTAGTTCTTAAATTTATTAAATGCTTCAAATTTATCCTTTATAGTCCAGTCATAACTATGTGGCATATTTATCCATATAAACCCAAAAAGCACAAAACCCTTCTTCTAGGTTCTTCATTTTCCTAACTTCTTCTTTAAACAAAAATCCAATGGATTCACGTTCGTCATTTTCTCATCTTCTTTTTGAAACGAAATTCCAATTGAAGAATTGCTCCTACAAGTTCGTCTTTATCTCAAAAAGTGTCTGATAATGATGGAGAAGTCGGTAATAGTTTTGAATCTACGCTTTATTTTGCTTCTCCAATGAATAAATAGAGACCTAATTGTTGGTGTGGTGCTTTGGTTATGTTAAGAAGGGCAACAACAGATAAAAAATTTGGAAAACAATTTTAGAGATGTCCTCGCTCTAAAGTATAATATATCTTGTTAATTTCCAATTTCGATTTAACACGGTGGGTTATGTTTTTATTCAACTTATGCATGGGAATACAAATAACGTTTGTGATTGTTTTGATTGGTATTGTAACACCCCATTTCTATCCAACGGATTTTATAAAATCAGAGTTACAAAATTTCGACATACAAATAGGATGCTACACTTACTACTTATAACATATTTGTCCAACTGAAAACAATTTCAAAACAACAAGTACTTAACGAAAATAACTTAAAATTCAGCAACGGAAATAAAATCAACAATGAAGCAACAAACGTTCATCCCCCCGAGTGTTATGTATCAGAGCGACGACACTGACTTGAACCACTAAAGGTAAACAACTTTCACTCTGGATTACCTGCACGTTACCAACATGGGATAATATTCAAATAGAAGGGGTGAGATATTGAACAATATAATAGAACGTATGATAAATAGTATATTAGAATCAGTTCGTACAAAATCACCACTTCACATCTCTCCACCAACATTTAACATAATCAATTCATCCACAAAACAACTCAGGATGCAACATGAAATGCGACTTGTTTTTATGCACATGCATGTGGTACCATTGGAGCAAAACTCCCAGCTTAATAATCCGCCAATTAATAGAGGCGTCAACAAGGCATAAACCTTCAACTTAATTTTCCAATCCAAACCAACTTACCGAGCATCAGCTCCAACTTGATATGTTATGTATGCGACAACAGTATGAACGTAGTAACAACAACAACAATAATTCAACACAACTCAACACAATTCAACATTGGCCATAAGCCTACAACTTAATATCTATCAATAATTAGAAGCATCCTAATAAAATTCATCATCACCTGCCAAATCTCAAAATTATACAATACACCGTATTAACCAAAACATACTACAATGCCCTGCGTAATTATTAAGGTAATTCGACTATATATTGCTAATCACTTATTAATTACATTATCTCTCTTGCTACTAACTTATTTTTACTAGAATTTATTTATCATATAGGGATAGAATACCTTAAGAATTCAAATTATTATACTGAGAATGTTAATCTTAATTAAATAACTAAATAACTCACATAGGAGCGTTAAGAGATGGGAATAGAGTATGTGTCCTTCAAATAACAGTAAGGACGTTAATAACAACATATACCCCTCGACATAGTGGCCATGCCGCTCAGTACCTTCTCCTCATGCCTCTGTACCGGCCGGCACCCCATACTTATCGGCATATTGTGCAGCCTTGTGTCGCTCGACACAACTTGTTCCCCTCGGCACACCTTGGAGCCTTGTGTCGCTCGACACCTAGAACCTATGCTCCTCAGAACATCTTGCAACCTCATGCCACTCGACGCAATTACTTGCGCTCCTCGGTACAACACGCCTTCACATTTTTGCACAGAATTCGTCTAGTCTGTGATAAACGTTAACCTATCCTTACAATATTCTCTTCGACGATTAATTTTTTCGACCAACAACATGGAATAACATGGCAACGGGGCAACTATATCTCCTACTAACATATTTATCAATCATACAAGACGGTCATACATAAGATTCATAAACGACCACAACATAAAAATGGGCAACTTTCAAGAACAGGCCCAAAAAATCAACGCACAACAATTATACCCACGACCAACCCTTACACAATATTCATCATAAGCCCCATTATAAGGTCAGAATCCCACCCCTACCTTGTGAAACCGCCTGGCCGAACCTGTCATCTGGTGTAATGAAACATCAATGAAGTCGCCACCGAACGTATTTTATCCCGCCGAAAGGGAAAGATAAACATCGAGAAAACCTGAAGAGGGAGAAATCACGGTCTTTCGACCAAGAGATCGGGTAAGGGAGTCTGTTACGCGAGGGGAAGGTATTAGCACCTCACACGTCCGTAGTACTCTATGGTATCCACTCTTATTGTCTAATCTAATGGGTGTGGTCAAAACCTATGTCTATGGCTTAAAGCAAAAAAGAGAATGCATGTGAAAGAAGAAAAAAAGAAAACAATGTAGGGAAAATAAAAGTTGTGATCGTTTGGGCCCTACCTCAATTCTTACGTATCCCTTTTAAGGAATCAGAGCAGCCGTAGTTCGGCTCATATATTTTGGTTGGTTTGTGTTTTTTAGTTAAGACAACAAAAACAGTCAAATATGGCGAAACATCAAATGAAAAAAACAACACACCTAAAAATGACATTGAGAGTCAAAGTAGAATAACAAACAGGTGTGATGGTGAAACATCAGCTTCAAACAAATGTGCGATGGCGAAACATCGGCTAAAAGATAACAAGATATCATGGAAAAGATGGCAAAACATCAATAAAATGGATGACAAAACATCACACCTAACAATGATATTGACAATCAAAGTAGGATAATAAACATGTGCAATGGCGAAACATCGGCTTCAAACAAGTATGCGATGCCGAAACATCAGCTAAAAGATAACAAGATATCATGGCAAAGACGGCGAAACATCGATAAACTGGATGGCAAAACATCACACCTAACAATGATATCGAGAATCAGAGTAAGATAACAAACATGTGCGATGGAAAAACATCGACTTCAAAAAAATGTGCGATGGCGAAATATCGGCTAAAAGATAACAAGATATCCTGGCAAAGATGGCGAGACATCGATAAAACGGATGACAAAACATCACACCTAACAATGATATTGAGAATCAAAGTAGGATAACAAACATGTGTGATGGCGAAACATCAGTAAACCATGTTTAAAAACAAAGCCAAGAGGTGCACAAACAAATAAGATTGATTTGTATCTTTTACCTTGAAGAAGGGTTTGAGTTTATTAGAGGTGTTTTATGATTTTCCAAGAAAACAATTTTTGTTTTAAGATGCAAAATGCAAAGGAAGGAAAAAAACAACTAAGGGAAACTAGCATAGCATTATCCCTAGTGTTATCATACAATGATTGACCCTAAGGTTGAGGATAAAGGAAAATCCTACCCTATGTTAGCATACATGGATTCCTACCTTAATTAACATGTCAAAGGAAGCTTAACAAAACTATCCTATAGGGAACAGGCAATGAGAGCGAAGTCGTGATCTCAATTTCTAAATTGAGTGACTCATCGATCAACAATTAAAGAAACAAAACAATAAACATCTTATAGAGAACATGCACTGAGAGCGAAGTCG